CATTTGTGTTTCAACCGTGAAGCAGTTGTGTTTGCATAGCTGTGTTTCGGTTTGAAGGGTGCCTCTTATTTAAGAATGTATTCCACGAAAAAAAAAACAGTCGTCTATTGTGGCTAAACTCGTCATTTTGAATTAAAAACTAAACTACTGATAAAGTTTACTAATGACATAATTTTTTTTTATACAACTTAGAATGGCAAACAAGCTGACCGCCCACCTGATGGAAAATGGTAACCGTCGCCTATAGACACGAGCAGTACCATGGACATAACAGAGTATACTGTTTCGCCCATGATACCCGCCATGCGTTGCCATTCCTGAGGACTCAAGTGTTATTCCTCTGTACCCTGTAAATTCACGCCATATCCCATCCTTCAAACCGAAACACAGCCATGCAAACAACTGCTTCACGGTTGAAACACGAATGGGACAGAGGTACCCAAGCAAACGACTTTTCTACAAAGTCTCCCTCTGGTAAGAGGTAACGTACATCAAAAATAATATAAGCCAATTGAATAGCTTCTCCTTTTTTGAAGTCGATTAAAAATGGTCCGCAAGTCACTCGCAAGTTGCGACTCAATACAAATTGACAAGTGAACATTAAGGCGGGCTGTCACCTCGCTCCTTTGTAGTGAAAACGTTTGTCTAAACAGCACACCTCACGTTCAACGTATTTGCATTTTTCTCCAAATATAATGCGGATACATTTTTGCGTCTGTGTTATGTAAATTGGACAGATATATTGTGACAAACGATAGTTGGACCACAGATAATATAATACTGTACTGGTAGTTGAGTGCACCGCGACATATGAATATGACTTCACTGGGGGGAAAGGGATTGTTAGCAATGGAATTTGACAACACCATTGCTGGCAATATGCCCTATTAAGTCGACCTCCACGTGGTTCCCCCTGGAACCATTCTTGTTGAATTCGTTACGATGATCAACTGACCTGCTTCATCCTCATCTATTGTCTTTTACTGGAGCCTCGCCAGCATATACCGATAGCCCAGGCGGTGATACTATTCCATTATCACCTATTTAAAAAGACACGAGGGCTTCCAGAGAGAAGCGCGTGGAAGTCGACCTGATAGAGTATATTACTAGTAATGGAACTTTTATTTTTAAATTTTATTGTTATTTTCAATGCGCCGAGGCACAGTCAGGCTCGTGTTTTTTTTTTTTATGGGTGAAAATGGTAAGGTAACGGTAACTCCGCCTGCGCTAATGCGATACGCTGACGGAGCACCAGAAGGGTGATAGATGAGAATAAAAACAGGCCAGTTAGCCCATCATGATAAATTCATCAGGAATTAACCATGATAGTTTCCAGGGGGAACCGCTAAGAGGTCGACCTTGTTGGGTATATTGCTAGAAATGGGATTCTCAGTCTCCGTTACTAACAATCCCTTCCTCCCCAGTCAGGCTCGTGTTAGCATCAGTCACTCATGACTAAGGATCACGAATTGATTTCGAAACTAGTCGAACATTGTCGATCTAATTACACGTAAGCTAAACTGGTAGTTATTGCGTTAATGGAAGCGTTAGATCCCAAATACTAATAATCCCTTTCCGCTCTAACCTAAGCATTTCTTCCATCAAGCCGCTACGTCGGAAAGAAACAGAAGAATATAAGCACATTCTCTGACCCTTGCTTTATACTCTACAAGGGGATTTGGAGACGTGATGCGAGATAAGAGCAGCGCTGAGCGAGTACTGGCACAAGATCACGGTGCCCCAAAAATAATGAGTATGACATCATGCGTGTAACAGTTGACTCTTTCTAACCGGCTACGGTGCAACACACGAGCGGAGACGGAGTAGATTATATGTTTCGGTAGTGGACAATATCGAAATGTGTCGTAGGAGACCACTAAGGTCTAGTTATCAAATCAAATAACTTAATTCTGCATAAGGATGGCAATTATTTTCGAAAAATGTCGATTTTTTAAACTATTCTATACTGATGATTTTTGGAAGTCTTATAAATCGATTTCCAAAAAGATCGAAATTTTAAAGATCGATTCTTCAAAAATCGTTTGTTTTCCAGTTTGTATTTTTAAAGTAGATTGTATTTTTAATGTAATGTATTGAAAATAAAACGGACACCATAATAATCGAATGAAGTTTTTTTTACAATTATATCAAAATATCTGGTATAAAAAAACATTTATTCACAAATTTATTGGTTGTTGTTTTTTTTAATTTAATTTTTTTTAGCTTTCGAATTGAAAAAAGATGTTAATAACTTCAATTTCACTATAGGATGAAATATATGAATTACTGGGTACAGAGGAATAACACCTGAGTCCTCAGGAATGGCAGCGCATGGGGGGTATCATGGGCGAAACAGTATACTCTGTTATGTCCATGGTACTGCTCATGTCTATAGGCGACGGTTACCACTTTCCATCAGGTGGGCCGTCAGCTTGTTTGCCATTCTAAGTTGTATAAAAAAAAAAAAAAAATATACACATATAGATACGAAACCTCCTGAACATCATGGTAATATATAGTATCGTATTAGCTCTTATATATTAGCACTTATTATTTTTGCTACTTATACTGTAGGACATCCCTATACAATAGAACAGACTTGGGCACATGGCGGTAGAATTTTGTCTGGCCCCTGAAGCATTGTATATATTATTATTAAAAACACAAATATTAGTTTTTGTCTAACATAAATAGTTGCATAAAAATTTTTAAATAAAATATTAAGCGATACATTATCAGGGCCGGTGGGAGCCAAAATTTTCTACCGGGCAACCGCTCTTTTCAACGCTTCCTATTCGAAAATATAATTATGATAATTAAACAATTACAGTATGTATAATAGTCGCACAATTTTATTAGTTATTATAACTTAATAAATAAATATTTTGATTCAAAAATGTTGGTTTTAAAATTCATTAATTGACATCTTTAGCAAAAATTAAACTTAAAATTAGAAAAAAAAAACTGTCTGCCCCGGGGTCAAATTTTCATCTGCAATGTGGCCCGACTATCAAAATATTTGCCCACCCCTGCAATAGAGTTAAATAGTGCATTACCCTTGTTGTCTTTATGTCATCAATTTGAAATTAAAATATTACTTTCAGCAATAAGACCGCTTTACTTATCCCCTATATTGTACGTAACAAATAAAGCATACTCATTCGGTCATTCATTAAATATTAAATATATATAAAATTAACCGCTCTCGTCCACCACTTGTGCCACAGCTCAAAGCGACATCGTCAGCTGATGCGTACGCGCAGTTGTCGGTCGCTTCAAATGGTACACTGTTTGGTTGTGTAGCTTACTTTGAAATTGCCTCATAACATGCGCATAATATGTCGTTTTCGGAATGTACAGAACTCGTATGAAACTAGCTTGTTTTTTGTTTTCATTTGCATTATAGGTTTTGTATGTTAACATAATGAATCACGTTTGAATAGATCTTAAAAATATAATATTATAATAATGCCAAACAATGAACTATTTTAGGAATGACGTAAAATATGCTATTGTTTGTAATACCAGAGTGAGACTTTGTACAAAAGACGATTGCTTGGGTACCTCTGTCCCATTCGTGTTTCAATCGTGAAGCAGTTGTGTTTGCATGGCTGTTTCGGTTTGAAGGGTAGGATATGGCGTGAATTTACTGGGTACAGAGGAATAACAATTAGAATGGCAAACAAGCTGACGGCCCACCTGATGGAAAGTAGTAACCGTCGCCTATAGACATGAGCAGTACCATGGACATAACAGTGTATACTGTTTCGCCCATGATACCCCCCATGCGTTGCCATTCCTGAGGACTCAGGTGTTATTCCTCTGTACCCTGTACTGCTGAACATAAGCCTCCCCCATAAGGGGGGATTTTACCAGTAGTTGCCACGCTTGGCACAAAATGCGGTTGCCAACTCGTGGCAATCGCATTTAAACTTTGGAGATGTTTTAAGAAGGACGCTGCTGCCTGTCCCTCGTCTTCCTTTAGTCACCTCTTACGACACCAATGAGAAAGGAAGGGGTGGCCTATTCGATGCCGAGACCACACGGCTAAATATTAGTAATATTATAGATTAACAACACATAATAACAAACACAAGTTAGTTATCAGATGTAGCTGCAAGCTGCTTTTAGGTTAGAACTGTTAAAGTCCACAATTGCTGACAAAGACTTGAATGACATAGATATAACTCGTATTGTCTATCAGTTTTATCAAACGAATTAAGGATGGGTAATATATAGCGATATCTGTATATTTTAGTTACAATATATATATATATATATATATATATATATATATATATATATATATATATATATATATATATATATATATATATATATATATTTTATACAACTTAGAATGACAAATAAGCTGACGGCCCACCTGATGGAAAGTGGTAACCGTCGCCTATAGACATGAGCAGTACCATGGACATAACAGAGTATACTGTTTCGCCCATGATACCCCCCATGCATTGCCATTCCTGAGGACACAGGTGTTATCCCTCTGTACCCAGCAAATTCACTATTCAAACCGAAATACAGCCATGCAAACACAGCTGCTTCACGGTTGAAACACGAATGGGACAGAGGTACCCAAGCAATCGACTTTTGTACAAAGTCTCCCTCAATATATATATATATATATGTAACGGAGTATTTATATAAGTTTAATAAACAGATTAATTAAATTAAAAGGATAAATTGAGTAAAACCTTAAACAAAATAGGTTTTTACTTTTAAACAAAACATCAGAACTTTCAGTTCATGTTTATTAATTAATCATTAAAATTATTCACGGTCATTTAATGTGCAATATGGCCATATAAAAATAGATGAAATATAACTTCTGACTACAGTCCTTTATGGGGTCAATGGCCAATTGTAAGTTAATTCAAGAATCCAAGAATACCTCTTAGATATGTAGATCTGTGTCAGCATTGGAAACCAAGGCGCCATCTTGCGGGTAAGCCTCACAAACTATCACTCCGTCAACTGACCTTGATATCCAGCTCAAAGTACACCGATAGGGGTGAGGATCGTACCCTGACGTGGGGCGGCAGCGGCGCGGGGCCCCTCGACGGGGGCGTCGGCACTCCGGCGGGGATCGCTCGCCCCCTCTCGCGGAGGGCTGGATGAGGGGCAGCCCCTCGAATGGGTGACCGCTCTTGTTTTAATGCTGTAAAAAATAAACTTTGTTAATATACTATAATATAAATATTTATTTATTATATTTTTAAATATATTTTTAACCCTGCCTATGCTGGTGATAAAGCCTGGCGGGGTATCAGTAAGAAATGATTGGCGAGTATGAAATCAAGTCAATTGGCCCGTCGTGTCGAATTAATCAGAAATTAATCACGATAGTTGGGGGAAAAAGGGATTGTTAGTAATGGAGATTAGCAATCCCATTGCTAACAATATACCCTATTAGGTTGACCTCCACGTGGTCCCCTCTGGAAATCATCGTGCTAAATTACAAGTCTATTCAACACGGTGGGCTAACTGACCTGCCTTTTCATTCTCACCTATCATCACCCACTGGTGCCCCGCCAGCTTCTACCGTTAGCACGAGCGGGGTTACCATACCATTATCATCCATAAAAAAACCCAGTTACTTACAACACCCTCCCCACTTTATTTGCTATATTAATATTTTTAATCAAAATTAATTATTCAGCAATCCATGCGGTTAATTATTTTAAATTTACACAGCACACAATTGTGTATTTAATTTAAATAAACATCAACAGTCAGTACATGGGTATTAATCAAATTAACAAAATACATTACAAATGATTAAAATACATTATTCATCCATAATGTGTTATAATAATAGAACTTATAAACCATATTAGTAATAAAAAAATAAAACAAAAATGCATACCCACCAACCAACCCAACAAATCCGGGTGATGGCGGTAGGCACGCTCTACGCGACGATACATTCTAATATGCTCGATGAAATGTGGCCATATCGAGAGTCACCGTTACCAAAACGGTAACAGTCGACAAAGTACCGGCCTTAAGGAAATACGCGATTGGGAGGCGCACGACGACGCCAAAATCCAAGGAGGCGCCGAAGCCGAAAAGCCCGAAAAGGCGCTATGGAATTAATAAATGATGGCCTCAAATTCCTATTATTAGGAGTCAACAGCGTAGAACTCCGATGACCCTTTTTATGCCATCAAAAATAAATAAGCTTCACATATATGAAATTGGAATGGTATGAGCAGTATCGAGGTGATGACCTTTGTTTACCGAATAAGGAACGCCGACAAAAAGTTGGTCAGGACCGCAGTCGTGAGCACGTCCATCACCAGATGCATTGGCCCTGTAACTCTTTACCGAATTCCAGTACTTCCAGAAAGTCCGACTTCCTCGTTAATTTTTCTAGAGACCTAATTTTAATATTGGAATAATAACCAAAATCGAACGGAATGTAAGTATAAAAGCTCGAGTAAATGGTCACCCGTTCAAATAATAACACTTCCCAGCGTCGCTTGTCCTCGTTGATCGACGCCGAGTGCTAACAACTGCAATTGAGCTATATGCCCTTCGGTAATGGCGTATGATGTTAAAAAAGAAAGTTATTTACATACAATGCGTGCGCCAATACAAGACCAAGCCTCGAACTCGTTTCTTGAAGGCGAGAACTCGTAGGTAGGCAATTAGGTTTCGCTGGTTTGAAGGGCATCTAAGATATCTAAACTAGAGCTATTGTTTTTATCTGTAATGCATTGCGAGTATATTTCAAAGCTCATGAACCATCTATTGTTTAATAATACCGGGAACAAACGAGCATGCGACTCACCTGATGGTAAGTGACTACTGCCGTCCATGGCACCCGCAACACTAAAGAAAACGCAAGTGTGGTGCCGGCCTTTTAAAAAGAACTATGCTATTTTCTTAAAAGTTACGTTGTCGTATCAGCTCGGAAATACTACTGCTGGGAGTTAATTCCAAAGTGTGGTTGTACATGAAAGAAACTGCCTTGAAAAACGTACGGGGGAAGACCGTCACTCATCTAGATAATTGGTACGGGATGTTTTCTATTTTCATTGACTCTTCCTTATAAGACATTTAACGTCATCAGACTTCCGGATGAAGCCGAAACAATTGTCGGAAACGACAAATACAGTAAGTTCTTAAATTTCCTGTAGTGTATGTATATTAGACAGCTCTTAATTCAGCTACAAAATAATATAGATAGGGTTCGATAATTTTCCATTAATATTTTAACTAGATTATTTACGCTCACACAAATTTTGAAAAAAAAAAATTTACAATATTGAGACTTCGAGGAGGTTCTTAATTCTATATTATGGTATTTATATAGTATTTTTCTGGTTGTATGTACACGATATCTTCGTTAACTATATACCTAGTAGCATATTAACATTTTAACAACTTAAAAGAATTTAAAACTTATATTTACAATTTAAACATTTAAATTTTGTAAACTTAAAGCCACTGTATTTATCGGAGTAAAACACCGCATTTTTTATGAATAAAAATGAAATGGGAATCCCATTTATGCTATCGGTATACACTGGCGGGATACCAGTACGTATGATAGATGAGTATGAAAGAAAGCAGGTTACCATGTTGAATTCGTCACAATGGGCTAACCCCATTGTGACGAATTCAACAGTTTCCAGGGGGAGCCGTGTGAAGTTCGATTTGATAGGTTATATTACTAGCAATGGGGTTGTTAGACCGTATTACTAACAATCCCTTTTCCCCTGGTAATACCGCATCAGGTTTTTTTTTGATGGGTGATAATGGTATGGTAACCCCGCCTGCGCTAACGGGATACGCTGGCGGAGCACCAGTGAAGGGTGATAGATGAGAATCAAAACAGGCCAGTTAGCCCATCAAGATGAATTCATCAGGAATTAACCATGATAGTTTCCAGGGGGAACCGCGAGGAGGTCGACCTGGTTGGGTATATTGCTAGCAATGGGATTCTCAATCTCCATTACTAACAATCCCTTTTTCCCCCTATCGCATCATGTTGCAAATAATAGACAATTCCACGTTCTAAATTCAAATATTTTAAATCTAAATGTATCTATGACATATCACGCCGACCATCGGCGCATGTTATTCATTTTAGAATAAAAACATGTGACATTACTAATCAATATTCGTTACGGTCGCTGTATTCTTTGAGATGCAAAATCTACTTATTATTTGATGTTTGGACTATCTCATCTTATTTCGATCTATAGTTAAACGACCTTTAGAGACCTATAGTGCTCGTCCTTTTAAAGAGTTCGCTGCTAATTTCTGTCGCTGGGAATTTTATTATATTCTTGGCAATTTGGTAATAACTGGTGACCTTACCACCCGAGATAAATGACTAACAAATCTGTCGATAGATACGTTTACGCTACCGTACATTCATATAAAATAGAACGAGACAACTTTTAACGTTGGAGGGGAGAGTTGTTAGTAATGAGATCTAACAGTAGGCCCGTTATTAGTTAGCAGTATAGTATAGTGCAAATACCGGCAAATCTACAAGTAGGTGCTGGGGGGAGGGGGGGAATCAATCCCTTCTCCCCCCTACAATATACCCTGTTAGATCGACCTCCATATGGTCCCCCCTGGAAACCATTGTAATGAATATCAGGTGTTTTCATTGCGATAGGCTAACTGGACCTACCTTTTCATTCTCACTTATCATCCCTCACTAGTGGCTTGTCAGCGTATACCGTTAGCGCAGGAGGGGCTACCATTCCATTATCATCCATTAAAATTAAAAAACTAAGAGGACCAGGATAGAGTATTTGGTAAAGGAGATATTTCGATCGCTTGTAGAACCGGCGGGCATAGCAACTAATTAAATAGGCTAAAACATATGCGATGCAAGCAGCGGACAGTTGACGCTCGACTGTCGAAAACTGGTCACTTCCTAATTTAGTACATACCAGGGACCTTGGCGATGAGTCAGCCAACTATTTTACTGCTAATCTTGATAAGCTATGAATAAATGTATATAAATTGTATGTGTATAAATTAGGAGCCAACAGAACTGGCATGGTTATGTTTAAAATAAAAACCAAAATACAATAAAAAAAAACACCAAGTCAACCGCTGAAAACGTGAATATTTCCGAACCGATACGACATCATAACCTTTAAGCATATTCCTTTTTAAAAGATAAATAGATAAATAGTCTGTATTACCAACAACAAGAATAACAGGTAAAAAAAAAACAACAACAATAAAAAAGAAAAAAAAAAACCAATTCATTTTGCTGGTTGCTGGAGCCGCCACAGCTCACCTCCAACGAGATGTACCTATATAGCGCTGATTTTCAGGCGGCCCCTTAACTAATTCATTCATCAAGAGACCGGCAGCACATCAGCAATGCTTCTGGTGTTGCGGGTGATCATGGGCGACGGTAGTCACTTACTCTCAGTTGAGCCGCATGCTCGTTTGCTCTTTGTATTATAAAAAAAAAATACAAGTACATTTTTCATCGTGAATAAAATTTTTCTGCCCTTTGCTGTAGAGACGATGGGCCCGTGGGGCCTAGATGCAAAGAATTTTTATCGGACGATCGCAGCGCGCCTCATCTAGGTTACTTGTGACCCGAGAGCTGGTAACTTTGCCCAAAACATAAGTTTGGCAATCCAAAATGGTAATGCTGCCAGTATCTTGAGTACGCTGCCTCGGTGTGGTGCGTTGGGAGATTACTTATAATTAGTATTAGTATTTTAGGAATTGTATATTAAATCCAATAGTTAATGAAGTCTAAATTTCAAAAATGGAGACAAAATTTAAATGAGAAGTAATAAAATTGTTATGATGAAGTTTAAGAATACAAATATTGAACGCAACTTTTTTATTATTCGTATATGATCGAGACCATAGACACAGTGGCATAGACTATAAAACTCTCTACTCTATACGTTTTTTTATTCTCTGTTAATATGTATTGTTAAAAAGCATAGTATCGAATAATAATAATAAAATAAATAAATGTCGAAAAGCATAGTATTTTTGTTAATTGTAATTCCTAAATAAATATTAAATTTATTTCTCATATATTTAATTGTTTACACAAGATTTCACCTTATATACACTATATGTATAAAAATATTATTGACATTAGAAAACCAGATGTAATTTTAGACGAAGACATGTAAACACTTGCACTAGCTGTTT